GAGAGTGCCAACCCAAGTGAGAGTGAAGATGCAAAAGTTAACACTCCATATCCCAAAGAAGAATGTGTCAGAGAAAGCTTGGAGAGTGAAAAGAAAAATGAAAATACAAACAGAAGAAAAAGGCCAAAGAATGAGTCAGAAAGTATGGAAGAAAGAAGCAAGAAGAGTAGCAGTCGTAACAAAGCCCAACACAGAAAGAAGAAAAGTGAAATGAACGAAAGCGAAGTGTGCAAGAATAAACAGCATACAAAGACAGAAACTAAGCTTGGCAGAGAAAAGTGTGTGATTACAAAAACAACGGTAACTGAAAACACTCAAAACACAGAAACAAAACACAGTGTAGATAGGTATCAAATGAAACATCCTATTCTCTGTGATTGTTGTAAAAAATATTGCAAATCGCTGGGTCATGAAACTAGGAATCGATACGAGATGTTAACAAAAAAGTGTCATGACATTTCACAAAAGAAACACCATGTACAAAAACAGCAGAATGGTACATCACATTACACACATGGTTGGATGTGGATACTACACTTCATTTTAATTATATTGCAGATTATTTTGACAACATTCCAGACAAAGAACTTAGAGTTATTCTGTACTATCTATGCTATTCAAATAGTGCAACTTTTAGTGACTAGTTATCCTAGTCGGAAAAACTTCAATTCACAAGTCTTGGTGATTATCAAAAGCTGTCAATTTCTCAAAAGTGTTACATTACTTGCATTGCTACTACTAAAACTATTGCTTCTACACATGCTTTATTCTAAACACTTTCCTCATTCTGTGATTATACATACAACTTGTCGGTAACAGCAGTCACATACAGCAAGCAGATTATTTTAATATATTGTGATATTAGGTTAACCAGTCCACTTTAATTAAACAGTTTTAATTGTGTCTATATACATTAGCACGGAATTAATTATCATGTATTTGGTATAACAATATTTAGAAACCACCCATTATAGTGTTTCATAATGATGTATTAGTAACATGGAAGTACAAAAAAGGCAGATGCCCACGCAACATACGCAGCGAATGTTTGCAAATAGGAGTACCAAACTGATGGCCTTCGAACCCGGTCAAAAGTAGGTTTCTACCAAAAGATTCAGTTGAATTATATATCGAATGGCATGGCTCTTACACTGTAGTAAGAAAAGTATCAAATGTTGATTATGAAATTGATTATAAAGGGAAATTGAAAATTTTTCATGCTAATATGATGAAAAGGTATTTTACAAGAAATGTAAGGTATTAACAGGTATTAATAATGTAACAGCATACATGGATGATATTTGCATACACACAAAAACTTTGCCGGAACACATAGACACCTTGAAAGAAGTGTTCAGCAACATTCAAAAGGCAAATCTGACTGTTAATCCAGCGAAATCAGAGTTTTGTTTCACACAAATCCAGTTTTTAGGACACACAGTATTCCAGGGTAGTATTCAGAATGACGAGACAATTGTTTCTAAAATTTTAAAAATTGAAAGACCAAAGACCAAGAAACAACTACAGGCACTATTAGGACTTGTAAATTATTACGGCAAATTCATCCCTAAGTTAGCAGAACTAACAGCCCCTCTATCGGAACTTTTGAAAAAAGACCAGTTTAGAAAAAAGGATTGGACAGAAACTCATGACAAAATCATACAAAAAATCAAGTCTTCATTTGCTACTCCACCAATACTAAGACAACCGGACCCATCTAAAACTTTCTACCTACAAACTGACGCTAGTGGTCATACCATAGCCGCGATGTTGGCTCAAAGGCATTCCGGTACTCTTCTTCCGGTTCTATATCTTTCACAGAAACTTAATTCCACCCAACAGAAATACAGTACTTTTGAAAAAGAGGCTCTCGCTCTTGTTATCAGCCTTAAAAAATTCCAAAAATTCTTGATAGGAAAGGAATTCATTATTCTGACTGATAACTTAGGCCTGACAAAATTGTTAACAATGGATGCAACAAATAACGCAAGAGTATACAGATGGGCGTTATTATTATCCCAATTTCAGTTCAAGATAGAACACATTAAGGGCATTGAAAACCATCTACCCGACGTGATGTCCAGATTATAAACATAGATTCAATTTTGTATTGTATTTATTACCTGGGGAAATCCTGAATTACAGGAAAGAGTATGGTTGAATGAATGAAATATGTAAACATAGCTTAACTGATGATTTTTATGTATGTTACATTGGTAAGTAAGTAACAATATACGTGTGACAAGGGTGACTATAATGAGGAGAATGATGATGACGATGAGATGAATATGATGACAATAACGCTGATAACGACAACAACAATGATGATGATGATGATGATGATGATGATGATGATGATAACGATGATGATGATGACAATAATGATGATGATTATGACAATGAAGATGTTACAGCATGGTGAAATAAGGTTTAATAATGATTACATATGTTGTTTAGATAAATTTATTGGTGAAAATATAGGTTGTAAAACATGTAATAGGGTAATTACTATGATATAGAAAGGGAATAACAATACTTTTTCGGAAAAGTAATGGGTAATTTACGCCACATAATCCGAGGGATTGAGTTCGAAATCCTAAATAGGGAAACATAGGTTTCTAATTGAAACGTAAACCAGTGACAGTAGCCATGAGTCCAACGGTGAGGGTGGGACTTTGCGGGTTTTCTACATTTCTGTTCCATAGCCGATATGGACTTCAGTACTTGAAAGAGAGTACCAGAATTGTTGTTCTGTTTTATACAGACTGTGGGATGGCATGGGGTTAATACGCAGAGCCTATATGGACTACCGCACTTGGAAGAGAGTGCCTGAATGGTTGTTTCCCATTAAGCCACTTGGTACTTATTGGTACTTATAACTGGTAATGTGACAAAGGGAAATAATGTAAAACCTATCAAAAGGGAAGTAACCATTAAAACCCAAAATGATTATTAGGTAATCCACATCATTACATTAAAGTATTCCCAAACCTTTAAAATTATAACCTAAAGACAAAGTAATAGAAAAAAAATTTAAGGTTAAATTTTTTTTTACTAGAAGGGAGGGGGAGATTGTAATGTTGTGAATTCCCGGGGAAACCCCAGAGAGTTCCCGATGGGGAGAAAAAGGTCGGAGGACCCGTGAGAGAAGAGAAAAACGGGAGAAGTGAGTCTCGTGTGTCTCATGGTAAACGAAGTGAGAGACACAAGAAAAGCATAAGACGTGAACGGAAGACGTGAACCGAGAGACTGAAGTAAGACGGTTGAAGTTCTGCCCTGACTGAGAGAGGACGCGTGATTGAACGCCTGAGAAGAATAAATGATTTGTGAAGTGAACGTTATATTTCAATAGGAGGACTGAATGTTTTTCCATACGTCGTAATGTCAGATATCAGAGTCCATGAAGTATAGATGGATGGTTCGAGAGACGCTGATAAATTCCTGAGTGTGTGGGAAGTCCGACCAGGTCGCTAGATTCAGCCAAGCAAGTCGAGCACGAGGAAGCATGAATGTATGTTTGCGATAACTGGCGATTCAACGAATAAAAGCAAAGAACTCAATATTCGTTCATGCTGTGTCGTTTCAACTCACTGTTCGTCTGAAAGCAATGTAAACAACACATGCCCCTAGATGAGCACATTACATAGACCAAGAACAAAATGGAAGGATAACATCAGAAAAACTCTACAACAGCACGATGTGACTATGGTCGAGGCGGCCAGAAGAGCTAGAAACAGAACCTTATATCTCCCTCGACACCCACAGTGGTAAAAGAGGAAGTGAAGAAGAAGAAGTGTTTAAGTAACTGCTTATATAATCGTATGTTTAATCCTTGCAGTGTTTCAATTAACTGCTTGTATAATTGTATTTTAAATCCTTGCAATGTTCAAAATAACTGCTTGTATAATCGTATGTTTAATCCTTGCAATGTTTAAAGTAACTGCTGGTATAATCGTATCTTTAATCCTTGCAATGTTTAAAATAACTGTATAATTGCATGTTTAATCCTTGCAGTGTTTAAAGTAACTGCTTGTATAATCGTATGTTTAATCCATGCAATTTTTTAAGTAACCGCTTGTATAATTCTATGTTTAATCCTTGCGATGTTTAAAGTAACTTCATGTATAATCGTATGTTTATTCCTTGCAATGTTTAAAGTAACTGCTTGTATAATCGTATGTTTAATCCTTGCAGTGTTTAAGTGACTGCTTGTAGAATCGTATGTTTAATCCTGGCAATGTTTAAAGTAGCTGCTTGTATAACCGCATGTTTAATCCTTGCTGTGTTTAAGTGACTGCTTGTAGAATCGTATGTATAATCCTGGCAATGTTTAAAGTAACTGCATGTATAATCGTATGTTTAATCCTGGCAATGTTTAAAGTAACTACATGTGTAATCGTATGTTTAATCCAGTCAATGTTTAAAGTAACTGCGTGTATAATCGTATGTTTAATCCTGGCAATGTTTAAAGTAACTGCATGTATAATCGTATGTTTAATCCTGGCAATGTTTAAAGTAACTGCATGTATAATCGTATGTTTAATCCTGGCAATGTTTAAAGTAACTGCTTGTATAATTCTATGTTTAATCCTTGCGATGTTTAAAGTAACTGCATGTATAATCGTATGTTTAATCCTTGCAGTGTTTAAGTGACTGCTTGTATAATCGTATTTTTAATCCTTGCAATGTTTAAAGTAGCTGCTTGTATAACCGCATGTTTAATCCTTCCAGTGTTTAAGTGACTGCTTGTAGAATCGTATGTATAATCCTGGCAATGTTTAAAGTAACTGCATGTATAATCGTATGTTTAATCCTGGCAATGTTTAAAGTAACTGCATGTATAATCGTATGTTTAATCCTTGCAATGTTTAAAGTAACTGCATGTATAATCGTATGTTTAATCCTGGCAATGTCCAAAGTAACTGCATGTATAATCGTATGTTTAATCCTGGCAATGTTTAAAGTAACTGCTTGTATAATCGTATGTTTAATCCTTGCAGGCTGGAGAAGCTAGATGGGGTACAGAGGAAGCTGAGCTCAATGCTATTCTGTGCTTGAGAAGTCGTTCGCACCTCATTGAGGTGTTCCGACAGTTCAAGAGCCTTGCTGGCAAGTCTATCGAAGAATCCATCAAGAATGAGTGCAGTGGAAGCTTGCAGACAGGGTACCTTGCCTTGGGTAATTTACACAAATGACTGCTCTACAATACGTGAAATTAACTTTTTTTTTTGTTTGTTTTCTCAGACGATCATGTTCTCATGGCAACTACTGAGGAAGATCTGCAGCGATAGCACCAAAAGCATAAAATATGCAAATGAACAATGAAAAAACAAAAGTTATGACAATTGTAAGAAAAGAAGAAGCAAGATTTCTATTGAAAAACAACAACTCGAGCAATCAAAAGACTTCGAGAAATAATAGGGGGCTGAGTGGTCTCGAGGCATGGCGTCCGCCCCGAGTGTTAGAGGTCTCGGGTTCAAGCCCTGGTGAAGGCTGGGATTTTTTTACGTAGACTTCTAGTAATTTCAACTGGTCTATGGATAGTAAGACCGGACGCCCGTGTGTATTTTTGAGCACTTAAAAAAAAAATCCCTCGGCAGTTGGAAATCGAAAAAGAGTAGCCTAACGGTCCTGCCAGGGCAAAAATTTTGAGTTAAAAATCTACCCGAAGTATTGAAGGATCCTCGCAGGTGCAACGGAGTTTGTGCACCGCACTGAGATTCTTCGGACTCAGGCTTGAGTCAGAAGTAGAACGGAGTACTAATGGGTTACTACTAGAGCTGTAGTGATTTTAACTATTCAACCGAATACGAATAACGGAACCAACTATTCGGCCGAATACGAATACGAATAGTGTATAGTGTATAAAATATATCTATTAAAAAAAAAACACACACACACACACATTTATAATGTCAAATGTACGCTGACCTTATACTTCACATAAAGCAGCACAGAACAGTCATCTTCTTCTATAGCATTCTGAGCCCTTGAGGTTTACTTCTGCATTCATCTCTCTGGCTGGCCTTCTCTTCACAATTTGTGACACCAGTGATTTGCAGGTCTGGCTGGACATTATCTCTCGATCTTCTTTTTTGTCTGCCTCTTTACCTTTCTGTCTTCTGACATTCTTTCAATATGCCCCAACCATTTTAGCCTGTTAGCTCTCATGATGCCAGTGATCAATGGTGATTTAAACAGAGTATGTGTTACGTTGTTGCTTCTCACTCTCCATTCCCCGCTATTAGCACGTTTGATGGGTCCAAAGATTTGTCGTAAGACTGTTTTCGAAAACCAGTAATATGGCCTCATCTTTTTTATTTGTGCTTCAAGTTTCAGAACCATATAAAACGATTGGTCTTATCAATGTTTTATATATTTTGATCTTGGTGTTGCGAGACAGACACTTTGACTTTAGCAGATGTTGAAGGGCATAGTATACTTTATTTCTATATTGTATTTCTTCTCTCAGCATGTTAGAGCAGTTGAAGTTAGCACCCAAGTACTTATATGTTTCCGTTCGTTTGATTTTCATATTATCGACTTGAATGTGGCCGGAGTTTATATTCGTTCATGGTCTAGTTAGTATTCGTACAGAATAGTGAACATTTAAAAACATTTTATGTTTTGTATCCTTCCGTCAGTCTGCGGTAATTATTAACTAGGAATGAAAGAATCCTAGGTATTATAACAAGTAACTAAACTTGGAAATTGTCACTGACAGCTTAGTTAATGCAGGAAAGCTGCATTAGCTTTCAGCAAAACCAATCGTCCCATGTTGTAAGTATTAAGGCCGTGTATGCAAAAGCGGGTGTAAGGTAACTAATAATCGTATTCGGCCTGACCGCAACTATTCGGCCGAATACCGAATAGTCAATAGGTCCACTATTCGGCCTCGAAGCGAATACGAAGCGAATATTCGGTACAGCCCTAGTTACTACCCTTGTGTGGTGATGTTGATCAGTCGTCTGAACCATCTAAACCTAAACCTTCAAGTTTCTGGGAAACATAATCCCATCCAAATGAAGAATCAAAGTGCAGATATATAATTGGTGAAATAAAGCAAATCAATCATTGGATAAATATCACAAATTTTGTAGAACAAACATTTCACATTTGACATCAAAGGAGAGAAAAAATTGTAACAACAGAAATGAATTGTCTAGGATGAATCCTAAATGTAACTAGAAAAGACGATCAGAAATGATGATAGGAAAGATTCTGCAACAGAACCAGTATTTAACTACATCAAGAGACAACATATCGAGTGGTTAGGACATGTGCCAAAACTACCACCAGAAAGTGCATCACAGAGAGCCAGCTCACTTAGACATAATGAAAACAGATCCAGAGGTCGATCACACAAGCGATGGATAGATGGAATATCTGGGGTTTTAAATACGATCACCTACGTGTCACATAACAAGGCTCTTATTCGATACCTCTATAAAACCTGACACTGAAATGCAATAAAGGACTAGACAAGAAGAAGAAGACTCTAGTTTAGATATTTTCTTGTTACAGTCGAATGTGTTTGTCTCTGATTGTTACGTCTGTCCACGGACTTCTGACTTGTACTACCAATCATTGCTGTTACAGATGTTCTTCCATACTATAGTGCTAAACGGCTGAACATTCTATCTTGATCTATCTCTACTTTTCCTCCCTTAACTTTCCTTTTGTGAGGATGTAATGTACTTCCATACTATAGTGCTAAACTGCTGAACATTCTATCTTGGTCTATTCCTGCCTTTCCTCCCTTAACTTTCCTTTAGTCAGGAAGTACCCTAGTTTCCCTTTTCTGAAGACCTGCCCGGATATTGGGAATCAACTCTTCTGAGTCATCAGTTCTTAGTGCGTTATTGTTTTCAAGACATCTTCAAGATAATTTTATCAGCCTATGTAATTCTGGTCATTCTTCTATGAAACTGCTACTCGACAGCTGGCCTATCATTGGAAACTAATCTGCTAGCTGTGCATTATTAACTTCCACTCATCGTGATAGCTCTAAATAGCTGTTAAAAACTCTTCTTTGCTATGTATCTAATTAAGTTACACTTTCAGTACATGACATGGTTACGATGAAAGGTTCTCGAGCTTGTGCTTTGTTCTCTGTATGCACAAAACAGTAGATAGCTGGGATTCCTTGTCACAAGATACATCCCAACCAATATACTTGTCAATTTTTTTTTAAATAAATTCATTGTTGGGAGAAATACCTATATTCAAATGTCGTTGACCCTAAATCTATCTCTTGAGGTAACCCTGGTAGGTCTACATCTTTTTCAGACTATCCAATGTCGCCAGTTATCTCCTTGTGAAATGCAATTTTTATGGTAGGTCTACATCTTTTTCAGACTATCCAATGTCGCCAGTTATCTCCTTGTGAAATGCAATTTTTCATTATTTTGAAGCCCCACCCTGGATCTTGCCAGAGGCCGCAATATAGCCCGACCATAAATATGACCTAATGGCTGAACGCGGTTTCCAGGACCTCTCGGGTGTTTATCGCTTGTGTGCTGTCCTAATGGGGTAAAATGTACTACTACTACTACTCAAACTATTCACTGTGTAGTTAATGTTGTGTTGAGTTGAGCTGTGTAAAGAATCAGCCTAACAGCTTCCTGGGTATTATCATAGGCTCCCCGTTTTTAAGCAGGCAACTTTAATACCATTTTGTTGTTCTGATTTGTTCGCGTGCTGCTAAAAGATATTGACCACATCTGTCTTTAAATGCATTAATTCTCAACAAAGAGATGCAGAATCAGCTAATGTGTCTATCTATTCCATAATTCACCAGTGCGTCCTGGAGACAAAAAAATAAGGATGCTCATCACCCTCGACTTCCGAAGCGATGCAACGACTTTGCACTTTAGTGTGTTTTCATGGCACACTTAGTGGGTAAAGCCGGTTATAATTTGTTTTCATTTTAATTTTGCAGTTGAGAGCATCCAGGACACACCAGGATTCTTTGCAAAATGTATTAGAGAGTGTGTGGAAGGAATCGGTACCAGTGAAGACCGTTTGACTAGAATCATTGTCACCAGATCTGAAGTAAGTTGACTGTATCAGCATTGCTGTCCGCAGAGTTCACTTTATGTTCAATGTGCTTTATGTTCAACATTGCTATCTGTAGAGTTCATGTTGTGTTCACTTTGTTTAGCAAAACTTCTAATTTTCTATGTGACAAGTTCTGATTGTCAGAGAAATGTCCGAATTGTTAATTCATTAAATCAATGATTATCACAATGCAGGAATGCTGGCTGAACGCTCAAGCTGTATGCCTCAGTTCGAATCCTCAGAATGGCTAACTTGTTTTGTTTCTTTTTTTTTCCGTTAAGGGCAAAAATAAAATCCTAGCTTGTGTAGTCTGTGATGTCTGCACTAGCCATGAGGTCTTTAAACATCAGGCTCAAAGATACCCCACATGCTCTGCCAGCATTGCAGATGCGGCAAATACAGACAGTAATGGCGGGAGAAAATCGTCATGAAGCGGAAGCTTTAAATTATAATTGTGACCAGGTAATGTGCGCCATATCAAATGGCTTAGCATTGCACGCCACCAACAGCCCTGAAAAGGACTCCTGCAGTGTTGATGCGATTATAGGAGACAAACCCAAATACTGTCCTGACCGGCGACGAAGTCCTCACCGGCCAGCCAATGGGGAACCCGGTCACCGATGTATTGTCAGATTATCACAGCATCGTCTTTTACGTCCGTTTTTAAAAGTTCGGTTGGCACTTTGTGCTGTGGTTTATAGTCAGGCTACGAAATCTGGACATTTAGTTTCAACATATCCGTTACTATTCATCGTTTACGATACTTGTTAAAGGAATACGGGTCTTTCACCACTACCCCCCCCCCTCCCCAAACCCCTGTTCTTCCCCATTGCGTGGCTTAGGAACCCACAAACGGAGATTACATGATATTTTGTCGATTTGCTGTTGGTTTCTTTGCGTAATTATATTTTTAAGTATGTGTTTATGTATTTTATACTATTTCAAATATGTTATCAAGAAAAACATTGTTGTTATTATTATTATTATTATAGCACACTTAAACGACCATTGGGCTCCTTAAGCCCAACCCTTAGAAAATTATAACGAGGCCAAGAGACACCCCCCCCCCCCAACCCACCCACCCCAACCTGTTACGATTTCTCGGTGATATTCCCTGGTTTTCAATTCAGACTAGGTCGACCTTGTTACCCAAGTCAGTTTTAACAAATGCGCCTCACAATGGGGAGTGCAGTCATTGACCACTGGATCTACAGGAGGCACGCGTTTGAACACAGACTGATCGCCGCGTGAACGTGAGCTGAGTGCAGTTTTCAAGGTCGCAGTTGTAGTTTCATTTGTTAATCCTGGTCTGTCAGACAGATAGGCGTGCTGGTTTTCTTGCTAGCATTTCCTTTACTAAATGCTGCTTTCCGCTGGCTTGAGAATCAGCTGTACACACATGCCATAATTGTAACCGACTCGCAGAGCATGTTGAGAAAGGTGGAGACAGGTATGCTGCATGCGGAATAGCAAGCACCACTTCAGATTCCTGGGTAGTAAGATCCTTTGGATATTTTCTCCAGGTGTGTTGGGAAATGACTAGGGGGACAGACTGGCCCGTTCTGTACCACTTGGTGGTGAATTGATGCATGACAAGATAGACGTTGTGAGGGCCCTTTGGGAAGGAGTAAACTGCGCGGAGGCATAAATAGATCATTACAGTCTGATGAGAATGGAGCCGTGGGGAGTTACCAGACGATCTGGCCAGCGCTCGAAACGGAGGAAAAAAGTGAGACGGATATACAATCAGACAGTTACTGGTACTATCAGAATCGGAACTCTTCGCTTGCTGCTAAAGACGGGGACGGGGCGCTTATGGTCGTGTCCCAAATGCTATAATGTTGATTCTTAATTCAACATTCACCATTCGACATTCTTTAGAGAATGTTTAAACTCCATCATTTTTGTTGCGTTGTCTTGTGTGTGCCTTTGTAAATATGTATGTGTGTATGAGGAAAGGGGTTGGGGGAGCGAGCTTTACATACCCGCGCGCGCGCATACACATACACACACTTATTAACCGTCAGGGGCCCCAATATAACTTGGTTGAATGTGGCTTACCGTAATTTTTCATGTTGAATTCTCATCTATAAGGTGTTAATCCTGCGTACTGCAATCCAGGAGTTGACAATCTACAATGCAAAAATCATAACGTATTAGCTAGCGTCTGTGAACTGGTCGTGAATCTTCCTAATTCTTCTATTTCAGGGTTGTCTACCCTACGCCAACAGCTGTAAAAATATTTCTAGAAACTTGTTATGTACAGTCCATGTAAATGACTTTGGCTGCTGTTGTATTGAATGTCTACTGTTTACGGATATCCATCTGCCAATATTTTGTTGCAGGCGCTTTTTTTTTTTAAATTAATTTTTTATAGACAATCTGATTTTGGTAACGACACCCGTCCCAGGCACACGGTGACTGGTCGCTCATTCATGCTTGCTGATCCTTCACACGCGCCTTCCTGTTACATGGGTGTCAGGAAGTATTGTCTATGACGCTGTCACCGCGAGGACGTTTGCTCTATATTACAAGATGTGACCACTTTTAACGACCGCTGAAGATCTAGAACTAGTCCAAACCCCACATACCCCCTCCCCCCACAGCCTCTGCCTACGTCCCACGAGAGACTGCAGCCTACGTCACATGGTTTCAGAATTGTTAACATTTTGCGGTGTCAGTTGAAGTAAATTCATGTCGTACTTGAAGTCTGAGAGGGCTAGAATATACGCAACGTCACCGGCCGCTCAGGCCAACGAGTACAACACACCGTGTACCTGGTCGCTCATAGGACGCTCCCCTCTAACTTAGACTAGCGCCTGTGAAAGGTTACCAAGCATCAATGAAAACCCAATTACTGTCTATTTGGGTCAGGAATCGTTATTACAACTGAAAATCTATTTAAACAGATTGTGTTGTTGATTTATAAATATAGTTTATGAAAGTGTTTATGGAAAATATATATAGATAGATTATGTTGCTGATGTTTTAATTTTTTTTTTTTTTTTAAATTTAAATAGAGAAGCCACATAAACAGATTTTGATACCGCCATTTTAAATTCTTTTAGGAACTGATCACAGATAGTAAATTGAATTTGCTGTTGGAATATTTCCTGGGACTAAATCACTGTTTTTTATCTGCAGATTGACATGGAAGAGATTGAACATGCATACAAATCCAAGTATGGGAAAAAGCTGATCGAAGAAATTGAGCAAGAGTGCGGTGGAGACTACAAGAAAATGCTCATTGCTTGTATTAAACTGGATGACTAGAATCATTTAAAGATACAGTTTTAATTCTTGGCACTCCTTTACAGAATCACTGCTTTTTTGCTATTGTTGGATACTCTGCTTTAAGTGTATTCTGCACATTTCTATTCAATATCATTTTCTGGGTAAATGGAATTAATATTTTTCATTTACAAGCAAATTTTTTTGGGAATTTGGTTTACATGTAGTAGGTACAGTTAGCTCGCAGACTGCACGCAAATGTGGCAAGTGTAAATGAGCTTCAAACTTCAAAAGACGTTTGCGTGTCATTTTCTGTCTTTTCATTGTAAAAGACTCATGTTGATATTATGGTTTCTGCTGGGCTTTTTTCCCTTCCATCTAGAATAATTTCAGTTTCCCATCTTATTTATTTTTTGTAAGTCTTATTATTGCATTCATTTTCATCAAATGAATCATGCACCAGCTTTCATCAGACTTAAAATTTGCCTTTTTTTCTGCAAGGTAATTTTATTATCGCTAATACATATAGCCAGTATAGTGTATCTGTTTCTATTAAAAGTTATTAAATCAACATAATTTAATTTTTTTTCTATTTTATTCTGTGACCACGCATGATTAACATATTTTGTTCTTGACGATCATTTCCCTTTATACTTCTACGCCATTAACAAGTTTATTTAAGTTTTTTTTTTTTTTTTTTGTGTTCTTTACATGTGTGGGCACTGAGTGTCCATCAAATTGCCTGGTCACTCCAAATTGCATCATTCTTTCTAGCCTGTCATGATTCAACAAAAACAAATAATTAAAAATAAAGCAATTAACCAACACTAACTAACTAAAGGAGAGAGAAAGAACGCAAGGTTGCTTTAGGCCAGAAAGTCAGCAGAATCACAGATATTTAAGGACGTCAGCCCTGTACATTAACAAACAAAAATCCTTTCTGGCAATCTCAATAGTGAACGGAATGAAAAGATAATGGTATACAGCATTCTAACCATGAAACAAAGAAAAGCGAGCAGATCTAGGTCGAGTTAAGCGAAGAGTTCCATTATGTATTAGAAGACAGAGATTTTGAATAAGTGTGAAATAGCCACGATCCAGATACCGCTTGTGAAAAGGAGTTACCTATCAGAAAACGGTTACAAAGCTGCTCGATAAAGGTAAGTACGCAGCTATTTCCTTGCTTTCAAAGTGCAACAGGAAAGTCACCAAGCTGTGGAAATGTATATGCAATGTAAAAATCTGCCGTCAATGCTGAATGTTAAATAACCAAAGTTTATTATCAAAAACTATAGTTGGAAAACCAAATTAGAGAGTCAGTAACGGTAAAGCAAATTAACAAGTAAGTATATAAAAGACACTGATTGTTTTAAAAAACCTAATTGGTTCGTCTAAAACATACTACCTTCACAGTATGCTCATAATATTCCAAAGTCTCAGACAAATAAGGTCACAAAAAGACACAGGGACAGAAAGGAAGAAAGAAAGAAAGCGATCATTGTCAACCAATCCCTCTTTAACTCCTGGTCCACCCTCCGTCATGTCACTGGCAATAGCCACCTGAAACAAAATCATTCTCCTGACATTATGTAATCACTAGTTACTTGCAGCAGCATTCATTAACATAACACCCAAAACAAAAATAACTGCCATTGACATACGAGCCGAGCATGGCTCATCCCAAGGAAACAGTATAATGAACATAAGTGTTCTAAGTAGGAAATTACATCAACGATGGCTATAATCATTGGAACATGTCCACATCTGCGTTTATGTCCGAGACACCACCACATCTGTAGAATCATTAGAAACCATTACAGCCAAATTCTCTCCAAATTGTTTAATTTTAAAAGAATCAGACAGTAAAAGACTGACAAAACAAACAATCACAAAACTATCTGTTTACGCCTCTTTTGAGGTGTAGGCAAGGAAGTCTTTGAGCTTACTACTTATAAACACAACCAGGGCTACTAAAAAGATTAAACAGATTGTGTTTCTTTCCCTCTCTCAGTACACCTCCCACATTTGAATGGCGGCCAATTTCTATCAGATACTATCTCTAGAGATGTCTTATCTGAGAATAATACCATTATGTTTTTTTTTTTTTAAAGTTAGTTGCGTATCATTTACAAAACATTGCAGAACCAACCCCAGATGTATACAGCTCATCAGAACAAGCACACATACGATCCTTTAAATCTCCCATTTAAAGACTTGGTTGGTTAGTTGTGTATCATTTACAGGACTTTGCAGCACCAACCCCAACAGCACCTGGCTGTTGAGTGGTTTTTCTAGGCAAATTTACGTCCAGTAGTTTGCCATTGCTTTTTGGACGGTCGACTTTCTTGATACCACTGTCGAAACCAACGCAAGGCGCATGGCCCGCAGCTGGGATCGAACCCGGCATCCCGGCATACGAAGCGTTGGCATCGACTTAGCCACAGAGCCGACATTTAAAGAGTAGGATAATAGAATAAACAAACTGACATTCCTTTAACAACAGAGGTGTCACCATTAGCCAGGTCTTTTATACAGCTGTGGTGTTAGATCTGTAAATACATGTGCTATAGTGCAACAAAACAATACCTAGTCTATCCAGTAAACACTAAAAAAATGTCAGTTGAGGTTTCACCTTGACTGCAGTCGGGGTTCGTCATACTTGCTCCGTTCCTGTGCCAGTGAAAATCAAATGTAATGCCCCTCACTGTCTCATTTGAAAAACAGGTGAACAAACAAACAGTCCCGGAACAATCCAGAGATATGCCCACATGGTAAATGCAGAGTATGTGCACTGTGCTGAGCTTCTTCGGACTTGAGTTAGAAGAAGAACGGAGTACTTATAGGTTACTACCCGTGTGCTATGATATTGGTCCGTTGTTCAAACTTTAAACTACTTATTACGTTTCGTATTATAGCCCTTCGTATTCAAAATTCCACCCCCCCCCCCCCCCTTTTCTACCCCAAACCCCATTACATACTTCTTGGTCTCATGTCTTTTCCGTTAAGTTTTCATTTACAGTTAATGTTGTATTTAGTACTCCGTTGATAAAAACTGTTGTCTTCGCGTTCGGTTGTATTCGTGCACGTCTTTTAATTTTTTTTTTTTTTTTTAACTTTCTAGTCGCATTTTATGTTATACTGGGCACTTCCCGGCAGACTGACTGTGTAACATTTGGACAGGTCCGTGCATTTGTATATATATAGGAAAACAAAATTTAAACTTTCTTCATTCTTGTTAGAAATAAGCAGATTGGTAACCCTTGAGGTCGTAGAAATATTATATATAATAAACAAAAAGACATGTTTTGATCAGCACTTATAAAAATACGTAGAAATATAGAATAACACATTAGGCAAAATAAGAATAGAGAGCTATAGTTGCATTGCCGGGAATCAAAATACCATGCCGGATGCCTAGTTGGTTTTACGTCTTGCTACATTTGTATCTAAAGGAGGTGGTTTCGTAGTCTTGATGTGACGTTTGAGTCCTCGCATTCTAACTATAGCTTTCAATTGTTGTTTTGTCCAGCGTGTCCTTCTATTTTTCTGTTTCTTTCTATTAGTGCTGGTAAAGACATGTCTGTTTTTTTTTATTATATTTTTTTTTCAAGTCTTTTCGTGAGTAGTAACCCACGCAGTGAACGACTATTTCAGCTGCATTCAGATGTGTATGCAAGCCTCACTTCAGAGGTCCCGGGTAGTTAGCATCCTATGGATATTTTCTCCAGGATATACAGGTGTGTTGGGAAATGAGCAAGCAGATCGACTGGCCGGTTCTATACCACTTGGTGGTGAATTGATGTATGACAAGCCAGATATTATGAGGACCCTTTTGGAAAGAGTGAACAGTGCGTATGCATAGATAGATCATTACGGTCTAAGAAGAATGGCGCTGCGAGGAGTTACCAGGGGATGTGGCCGACGCTCAAGACTCAGGGGAAGGATGAGACGGATATACAATCAAACGGCTACTGCTGCCATCGGAAATGCTGCTGCTGCTGAAGATGGGAACGGGGCACTTATGGGAGTGTCCCGAGTGCTGTGATGTCGATTCCTAATTCAACATTAAACATTCAGATGTCTATGTGACATTGCCTGCAGACTTTGCACTCTCATAGAGACTGTGACAAACTACAACCCACAGAGTTTTTTTTTTTTCGAAACTTAGCCACGTTGTTCTTTGTCGGATATGTGTCTGTTATATAATCATGTTGTTGATAACAGTTTCCTACTCCATCGGTATGTAAACACCCGCAATCTCCTGAAACGCGCACTACGTTTAGGTACAAAGGTCATCCTCAACACTCGTAGAGCAAGACAGTTTTTTTGTTTGTTTTTTAGCCTGATATGACAATCTCCAGTATCTCTAAAGCTACCTATGTGTATTTTAGTACAAATTAGTTCCAGTTATGATTATGAAGCTATTAGTTTTCTAAAAGCATTCCCCCAAACAAAGAAACTTTAGTTGTGAACAAACTGTTAAACTGTATTTTCAATTGCAAAATTAGCCGTCCAACTGTTCCTTCAGTTCGTGTTGTCTTTTCCACCTCGGTAAGAACAAGACTGATACCTCAGGTCCTAAACTTAATTAATTCTTTGATTTCTTTCATCAGACGAAGCATTCGTGAGCCGAATAATGTTTTCCCACATTGAAATTAGTGCAAATCAAATTCATCTGTTTGCTTTCCCATTAAAAAAAAAAACTTTTTTTGAAAATCGCATCCCTAAGAACGCTGGCCAATAGTGCAGGTATTAATTGTGTTGTCTGTCTTGTTTGTATCCTGGGAAGTGTTTCAATGACTGTTTCTGTGGCTCGTATTCTCACAAAATAACGATCCAGAAGCATTTGTCTTTTTCTGCTTTGGATAATTTACCGAAAATAGGACATCACATTGTCATTTAAAATGTCGCATACTCTGCTAGTCACAGTTTTCTTAAAATGGTGCTTCTCAATGAAAACCCGGACTCCACTCCAATGGCTACAAATCTATTTGTTATGTGTACTTAAAACATGTATCACTTTATTGTCATACTCTCCTGAG